CCTCGGCTCCGTCGTTTCATTCCCCAGAAATTCGCAGGCCGTCCGATCGGTTGTTTTCGGGAAATGGGTTGTTGACGAATCTGTCGAGTTCGAGTTCCAACTTGGATTCGGACTCCGCGTCGACTTCCTCGCTGGCGGAGGCTTCTGCGGAGCTGGAGATGTTTATTGAACTTCTGCCTTCGGGGATGAGGAAGCAGCTGAGCTCGCATGCTGAGTTCCGGGAATTGATTGAGGTGGTCATGGATTTGGGAAGGAACCCTATTGCTAGGTTTCCGTCGGGGGATTGGGCCATTTCGGAACAGCCCGTGAAGCACGAAGATCTAAGCCATGCGATATCGAAGGTGATGATCTGAAAGATTTCTTCGTCCCCTTGAAACTATTTGTGATTCACTGCTAATTGGAGTATAATTAAAGTTTTTTTCTGGGTCAGAAAGTATAACTAGTGCTCTTTCTAAACTGGATTTATTTATAATTATGCATAAAATTGGGGCTTGTGGGTGAAGTAGACGTATTTTTTCCATACGGAAATACAATATAAGACTCAGTTTCCCTGTGAATGTGGTTTACGATACACTAGGTCTACTTTGTGATTGATCCTGCTGAAATTTTCTGGATCATGGCACATACTCGTCCTGTAAAATAACCAGGCTATAATGGAAATCATTTGCTTAAGGGTGAAGATCAATTGAACTTTGGGGTACTCGATTTGTTATTTAGGTTGGAGACTTTTCAGACGATAACCGATCGGGCATGGACAGATCTTTGCATCGGATAAGTGCAATTCGAAATCGTAAAATGCAAATTATTGGCCTCACTTGTCGGGTGGGACGTGCTGTCTCTGGAAGTGCTGAGATCATTCATGATTTGGTAGAGGGTGGAGGTTCCATCTTGGTCATTGGACCACCAGGAGTTGGCAAAACCACGTTAATCAGGTATGTAGATTCTCTAAGGGCAACTGACAAACTCCAAACTCTTATTATTCTTCCGTTTTCCCCATCTTGACTGGCAGCATATTGTGCTAAAATGTGCAAGATGAACTGGTGTGCAATGGTCATTAGAACGATACTCTTCAAATCAATGATTATGGAATCAGAATTAGTTGTATTAAACTTTTCTTGATGTCCTACATTTTTCGGAATTATGGTTTACTTACTCTTCCTTTATTCAGTACATCAAATTGTGGGATCAGAATCACTTTTGTGACCTATTTGATTTATGCAGAGAAATTGCTCGGATGTTGGCAGATGACCACAAGAAACGTGTTGTTATTGTAGATACTTCCAATGAAATTGGAGGTGATGGAGATGTTCCTCATGCAGGAATAGGCAGTGCGAGGAGGATGCAAGTCCCTAATGTTAATATGCAGCATACGGTCAGAGCACAAACAGATGTTTATGGATTCTTTAACCAATACTTCATTTCATAGTTTCACATCAAAGCTTGAGTTGCTAATCTTTTCAGGTTATGATCGAAGCAGTGGAGAACCACATGCCCGAAACCATAATAATTGATGAAATTGGAACAGAGCTTGAAGCACTAGCTGCCAGCACAATTGCTCAAAGAGGGGTTCAGCTAGTAGGGACAGCACACGGTATCACCATTGACAACATAATAAAAAATCCATCGTTGCAGATCCTTGTTGGTGGCATTGAGGTGAGGAGGAAAAAAGTCCTAATATTTCTCTTGACCTGCTCAAACGCATTTGCATATACCTTTAACTTGAATATTGCAGCAATTGTTAATCAAGTATTAAAATGATGATATGCACCTCTGCAAAAAGTTCTCTCTTATAATCTGCTAGCAGTTTTGCTAATCCTGTTTTGTACAATGGAAGTATATTGATGAAAGTGCCCAACTCTTCCTTTCCTTTATGTTCCTCCTCGCTTTTACTTGGACACAGAGTGTGACCCTTGGTGATGAGGAAGCAAGGAAAAGAAAAGTGCAGAAGACAATTCTTGAGAGAAAAGGGCCTCCTACTTTTACTTGTGCAGTTGAGATGATATCCAAAACTGAATGTCGTGTTCATCACAGATTAGATACGACAGTTGATGCAATATTAGCAGGTAGTTCATCCAACTACTTTGACATTGTTTGCTGTATTTCTTTCCTTCAAATATATTTTTACAATTGATCATCTACCGTCTGTATTCTCTTTGGAGTAGGAAAAACCCCTCTTTTTGAAGTACGTCATGTGGAGACTTATGCTAACCATTCTATGGAGCCGTCTCCAAATCTTGAAAAGAGTCTTCAAGAAAGATTACATTCAAAAGATGATAACATCATTGCTGATAATGATTTTGACATGGAAGTACGTCACGTGGAGAGTTATGCTAACCGTTCTATGGGGCCATCTCCAAATCATGAAAAGAGTCTTCAAGAAAAATTACATTCAAAAGGTGATAACATTGTTGCTGATAATGATTCTGACATGGAAGACATGGTTCACTTTCCTCGTCAGTCTAAGAGCAGAACTGTGAGCAAAAGAAGCTCACCAGTGCGAGTCTATACTTATAAGGTAAATCGCCTATGTTTTGTTATAATTAATACTCATTTGGGATGAGGATACAGTAGTGTAGTAATACTTGAGCTTACGATGCTTGTCAAACTCAAAGATGTACTTTTGGATTGCCATATTTTACAATAAAAATGTATTGATGCTCCCTGTTTTGGCACTTTCATTCAGATTCTTGAATTGGATCTACTTCAAGTTGCACAAGTATTGGGGCTTGAGAATGAAATAGACGTAACTGATGACATTGAAGCAGCTGATGCAATATTGGCATCCAGTGATGAAATTAAGCAGAACCCATGGATCCGAAGTGTAGCAAAATTTCACCACGTGCCCGTCTTCGTAATCAAGGTACTCTTTACTTCTATAAGTATAAAATAAGCACATTCTTTCTTCAGTTATTTACGACTCTCTCAATACAGTCAAACACTATGGCTCAAATGGTCAAGGCAATTCGCATGATTATAAAGATAGACTCCACTGCTAGATCAGAGAAACCACCAAAAACCCCCGACATTGTAATAGAAGATGATGCACCAAAAAGAAAGCCATCCCTTGAAGAGATAGATGCATTGGAGGTAATTTCCTTTGCACATTGATGCTTATGTGTGTGTGTGTTCTTTTGCATTTAAATTAAAGGCATTCCCCAACCTTAACCATGATTTATATTAGTGAAATTTGAATTTAAATCAGATACCACTGGCTCTAATGGTTAAAATAATTACAACATTGTTGTGTTCAGCATGTCTTGCTATCAAGAGGTTTTCTTCCCAATCTGAATTATAAAATCACCCATCTCTGCATAATGGTGTCAAGTTTCCGTAATAGCAACAATTAATTTTGCTCTTTTACAAAATGAAGTCATTTTCTGGTTTAATATGTCAAAGTTTCATACCTATTCATGGCACGATCAGAAAGTGGGCACAAAATTTTATTTAATTTTATCATTTATATGCTGAAACTTCTATCGTTTAGCATTTTCCCTCTTGCTTTATGTGGGTACAAGTACAGCTAGCTTCATGATTAATGGCTCTCTTCCAGTTTCTACTGCAATTTTATTCTTTTATAAGCATCATATCCATAGTCTAGTCTGCTAACCCTGTCTGACAAGAACACATGGTGTGATATGTGGCGATAGTTTTATTTCGTCCTTTAAGGGAATCTCAATCTATTTTATAAAGCTGCGATAATCATTTCGTTTTTAGTTTTCCGTTTTTAAAAATTATACTTGTTTTTGTACGATTTCATTGGTAAGGTTTTCACCTCTCTTGAAAATATAGTTGAATTCTTAACCATATTTTTAAAACAAAAATTACCTTTTGAAAATGACCTTTTCTAGTTTTCAAACTTTGGCCTAGATTTTAAAAATATTTACAAAAGCTATATAACAAAACATGTCGAGGTGCAGACAAGCTGACCTAAACACTCGTGGATATAAAAAAACTATATAACAAAACAAAGGAACACATGAGGTGAAAGTAATGTTTCTAAGTTTAATTTTTAAAACAGAAAACAAAAAACGAAATGGTTATCAAACGGAGCCTAATCTAATCGTCTTGGTGATGTTGTAAAGTTAATTTCAGCTGAGGGTTACAATTATTTTGACATATATTCTTGTTTCATGTGAACCATGATATGATAATCTTGTAGTCTATACAACCCATATTGTACTTCCGCCATAAATTTTCTCCTGCTCTTAAATGTGACAGGAAGTTAGACTTGCCATCGAGTATATTGTCATTCCTGGTGGAGAGCCAGTCGAGCTTCTACCTCGATGTTCTGAAATAGTCGCCCGACAGCTTGAACTTGTGGAGAGCTATCAGTTAGCAGCTGAATACTCCGCTACTGAGGGGAACCCCAGGTTGCAGATTCTTCCTCTAAGGTTGAAGAACAAGAATCTTAGAGAACAAAAATCGAAATCACTGACTGGCAACAGGACCGGTATCGCAAGGCTCCCTTTGCTGCCTGAATGAAGTTTAAGTTTAACCAAATCTCCAAACATGGTACAGTTCTATTGTTTTCTGGTCAATACAATTGCCAATTCATGTACAGGCATGTAAATTATACATATATGTATATCTCATTAACATAATTATTTATATCTTATGAGTTCTTCCATCCTGGTTATACTTGTACAACATTGTAAAGAATTCCTTCAATCAAACAGAGAAATGACTGTTCTAGTGTTAAAAGTTCAAGCAACTTTTACTCCCCTTTTTACTTCTTTTGATGGATAAAGAAGACAAAAAATGAAGAATCTGCACTTTTTTTTATCAGTTGACATGGATGATTTCCCTTTTAAGTTAGACATGGCTTCGTTGATGAGTAGTGTTGAAGTATATTTTGGAGTTTGTGCAGTTTATTTCTGATGCAAGTTGTATTAATTGTTATTTGAAACGCTCAATTCGTCTCAGTAATCTATAATAGGCGTTTGATTCATGGGTTAGATTTGTATACTATGAAGTTGAGACGTGGAGTCTATGTGTGTTGTGTGGGTTTGCTTATCCGAGATGATGTATTTGTTAATCCACATGTTAAAATAAAACTCAACATATACTTAATTAATCTTATAAAATTTGTATTGATATTAACTTTTACAAATCATATGACCATAAATTTAGGTTTAGACAATTCAACCACATAAAAATTTAGCATTCTCAGCTCTATGTTTCATGCACTACAACTATTGGTCCACTTGGATATTTGTGATATAAAGCTCTGGGATATTAAATATCTATATTTGGATGGGTAGAACAATCCATATCGGTACATTAAATATTTGTGTTTGTTTTATAGATTTTGTAGGTGGGAGTTCTATTTATTTAACCAATTAATTTGATGTTAATGAATAAATTGATGTTATCAAATTATTTAATATCAATTAAAATTTTAGTTTAAATTAGTTAATATATTATAATATTAGTTAATCAAAATAAAAATAAATAAATAGTTTTGAAATAACACTTAATAATTAATAATTAAATTTAATCAGTAAGAAGTAACTAAACAAATTTAAATTAATTAAAATGTCAATATCAAGTAATTAAATTTCTCGTAAAAGTTAATGTTACATAGTTAAAATAATATGAAATAGTAATTATAAATGTAATAAGTAAAATTTATTAAGAATAATATGTTAATAATATATACTAACAAAAATTATGTTAAGAATAAATTAATAGTTAGTTAAAAACAATAAGTATTAATTAATTGATAAAAATTAAATAATGAATTTGTTTTTATGATTAATTAATTAATAATATTAATTTGTTTACTATTATTTATTTCACAGCCATAAAAATTCCACAAATATGAGGGTAGTTAATATTTTATTCTATTATTTTTGCAAAAATGAGGGTAGTTAATATAATAACCCATGATGGGTGGGTTTTAATCTTCCTTATAATCATATCTCGAGTTTTAAAAATTAAAAATATGTTAAAGAAACTGAGTATTTAATAGGATTATTTTTAATTGAACAACTTTATCAAAGAAAAGACAGCAATATATATGGAATCATTATCAATATTAAATTAGTTAAAAAGTTAATTTTGATTTAAAAATTATTAATCAAAGTCTTAAAAATACACCATTACAATTACAATTGATCTAAAAAACACAATTACAAACTAATTTGAGAGTGGCTAAGGCAAGTGAGGTAATATTTAAAAAAAAAAAAAAAAAGGAACAAAACCACAATTTGGGTGTAAGGGATCCATTAGAACAACTCAGGTTGGGGCCCAAAAAAGCCCATGTCCACCACCAGAAAAGAGTAAAACCCAAGCCCAGGCCCAGGCCCATGCCCAGCCCAAGCCCGAGACACGGACCTCGAACGCTAGGGTTTAGAGCCTCAAAACCCTACACCGTCTGGAGCTCACTGGTTCACGTTGTGGTTCACTACGGGTGAAAAGGCGAGTGTTAATTCTTTTCTCTTTGCAACTCTTGATTTGAAATTCCCCATGTCGAATCAGACGGAGGCTCGATCATAGTATTTTTCTGAGCTTGTCTTATTCAGTTTCCGGTTCTTGTTGCGGTTTTCTGCAGGAAGTTTTGTCTGATTGATAGCCGAAAGGGGAATGGCTGGGAAGGACGAGTACCGAATATTTGTTGGAGGATTGTCATGGAACATCTCGGAGCGTCAGCTCGAGAACGCTTTCAGCCGCTACGGCAAAATCCTGGAAACTCAGGTAACTTTCGTCTTCCATGTTTTTCCCCTTTCATTATGCCTCATATTTGCTTATCGGTTGAGATGACGATGGAGAAAACGAAATCTGACCGCTATTCTGAATAGAACAAAAGATTCTGAATGTTTCGACATGCACGAGGTCTAATAGTGACGGTGTAAACGATTTTCTTGCGAGTAGTTTGTTTGTTTGTTTTTGGTAATGAAATTGGCTGCGTTTTGACGACATTCCTTGCAAATTATGAGTTTTTCTTTTCCATTATGCATGTCGGTGGTATTTTGTTAGTTGCATGCATGTCCGTTTATTTGTGTGTGTATAATATCTTTGTTCTAGTTCACGTTTCTTTATCGCTCATTTATTTATTTTTGGAAATAATGTGTACATGGACATTAGTAACATTCGGGATGTATTAGTTTATTAAGGCTAAAAGAATCAAAATACTCCCGATCAATTTTGCTTCCTAGATTATAACGATTAGTTTATCTCAGGCTTTCTCTTTCTTACCATAATTTGATCTTTTGTTATGTAGAATATGGTCCAGGGAGTCAGCTTAAAGCTGAACACATGAGTCTGTTCGTACATTATCTGCAGAATTCTTACATATAATTGAAGAAATGGTTAATACACAAGAAATCCCATCCATGACTATACATATATTGGAAGAAATTGTTTGGAGACTGGTAGTATTTTGAAAGAAAAGTATTCTCACAATAATGTTTCAGAAATTATTACTGATGCCTTCTCCTAGGACACCTCCTGAGATGTTTCTTCTGTTGACTATGGGGAGGAGAAATCATAGTTAACCAAATTTGCAAAACTCAATCAAGACCATTCACTTCCACAAGCAAAAATTTAATGTTCAACATACAGTTTGCTAATGTAGTTTCCAACTTATCAGAGTGTAAAGTGGATAATGTTTGTATTTCTTGGAGATCTATTTGGTCGATTTTATTGGGAATGTTTCTGCAATTTGTTGTAAGTAGTCCTAAATTCCTTGAGAATAATCCAAAGGTTCTAACTGGGGTATAAGCTGTTGGATTGAGCCAGATGCTTCTAGAAACTCTGATGTTCAGGTTCTTGTTGATTTACACCGGGCCTCCTATCTTAAAATATTTTGCAAAGTATTCCATACCTAATGTTTGGTCCTTCTAGTTTCAAGAACATGCAAGACTTATTTATCTTGCTTTCTGTTGCTTGATGCATCTATAAGGTTTAATCATGATCTTGCTCAGTCAGTGTTAATGGTGAGTTCATGCATTGGTGAGGGTATAAATTGTCATCTGCCTTGCTGGTGGCATGCCGTCTTGAGGTTCCTGCTTGACATTTGTGCATATCTTGGAATTGGAACTTCTTATAGTTTAATTAGCATATAGCATTCTAGCGTTCTAGTGCTTCCATATGTTCAGGATTTCTTTTGTGTGCTTTGGCATGGAAGAACATGCTATTGTCAAAATATTTCGTGTTAGTTCGACAGAGAAAAACTGACACTGTAATTTCAGTTATTCACCATCTCTACTGAATCTGTGAACATGCCCATGGTGACAAAAAGGGATTGTAATACGATTGTCACGTATATTGTTGCATGCTGAAGCTTCAGGTGCTAGACTTGTTTTGTTTGGTATGACATCCTGCAGCACACACAGCTTGCTTGGGTATTAGTGACTCCACAGTTAAATTGTACTGAAATCTCTTTTAGTTGTCAGTGCCGGCTTGTTCCATTTTAGACGACAAGATTTTGCAGTAAATGGGACATTGTAGAGATGTGACACCAGAATGCAGAATAATCTGAGTTAGAATTTTCTCTGTTGCTTTTACATTTGTTGGCTGCTCAGTGAATCATAAAGGACAAACCTCAATTTACTGTGTAAGCTAAGAATAGCAGCTGAAGTGAGGACAGTATTTAATGCATTGTTGTGTTTTCGTCTAGTATGTGGCATTGAGTTGGGCAGTGGCATGGTGCAAAGAATCAAGTATTCGGTATGGCAAGAAGTTATATCTCCTCAATATTTTTTCTTCTCAATTTGCTCATATAACCGGTGTCTAGACTCTAGAGTGATTTATATGTGACTGGGTTATGAACCGTGGAATGATGTCTGACTGCAGCAGTGGTGGAGTAATTTCAGTAATCAGTAAAAGTGTTGCCTCGGGTGAATATCTCAAAGTGAGATAATCTCTAGTTAACTTGTAGAGCTTGAGATCCTGAGTTTATGATGGGACATTTCCTAGTTTGGACCCAAAGAGACTGTGGGAAGTAGAGGTCAAAGTTTCTCATTAAACGATAGATTTGGAGAGTTGAAGACAACTTGTGTGACAATTTTCAAGTTGTGGACACATTGCAGGGCTTTGAAGGGAAATCCTTCCAAGTGTATCATTAAAGTTGTTCCTTTGATGATATACTTGGGAAGGAGAAGTAAGTTGTCAGAATTTTTTTATTGTTTTACAATTTCCACTCTTTGCATAGCTATAATACTTTTCATAGTCTATGTGTTGGAATTGAACAACAATGTAGATATTGATTGATATTACATAATGTAAACTCTTTGCATGAGCTTCTCTTGTGGTGTTTATGTAGATCATGTTAGAACGAGATACAGGCCGTCCTCGTGGATTCGGTTTTATTACCTTTGCAGATCGTCGAGGGATGGATGATGCAATCAGGGAGATGCATGGGCGTGAGCTTGGTGAGAGGACTATCTCAGTAAATAAGGCTGAACCGAAGATGGAGGGAGATGATGGAGAACCAGGCTTTAGGGGAGGAGGCTATTCATCTGGTGGTAGGCCCAGTTTTGGGAGAGGAGGAGATAGATCTGTGGGGCAAGATGAATGCTTCAAGTGTGGACGCCCAGGACATTGGGCACGAGATTGCCCATCAGTTGGTGGTGGACGAGGTAGGGGTAGAGGTTCATTTTCATCCCGTTCTCGATTTGATAGTGATAGTCGTGGAGATCGTTTTGGAGGAGATCGGGACCGATATGTGGATGACCGCTATGATGGAGGGCGATATGGAGATAGAGATCATTTTGACCGTAGAGATGACAAGTATGGAAGTCGAGACCGCTATTTTGATGACAGGTAGTTTTACATCTTTTATTTGTTCTAATAGTGATGTGAATTGTGGTGTTGAGATAAGGTGAGCATCTTCCTACATGTCTAATACAAAAACTACATATGTTCTCTCTCAAAGTGTGATTTGATTGACACGTTACCGAAGTAGTAGCTAAGACTCTGTTTATAAAAAAAAGCACTGGAAATTCTTTATAACCGAGATTTTGTTTGCAAACTCTGTAGGTACCCGTCTGGTGGAGATCGCTTTGCTGGTGGTGATAGGTATGATGTTAGCGATCGTTATCCTCAAAACGGCTATGTTAAAGACAGAGGCGGGTACAATAGGGACATTGGTCCTAGGAGTGGCAGTGATAGGTATGGAAGCGGAGGTCCAGGCCGTTACGAGGGAAGAAGTTATAGAGATAGGGCAGGTCCTTACGACCGCCCAAGCAGGGGAGGACGGCCGTCTTCCTACGAGCGCTATTAAGGTTAAGATGTACGTATGAATGTCGGTAGTTGTTTGTTCACAATTGCAAATCATTCTACAAACTTGTAAGTTAGCAATGAACTGTGACAGTCTTTATGCAACCCTCTGGCCTTTTGGCATTGATGATTCTCTCCAAATATTTAGTAATGTTCCCTTGATTCATCAGCCTCCCATTTTTGACTTTTGACTTCTCAATGTGATGAATTATTTTGTTGCCCTTATTCAATCTGATTTCACAGCTTTTTCTTTCTCTTTCAATTTGGGAACATATGTTGACATTAATCTGTTGTTTTCTTGGAGACAACAGACAACAGACAGAAGTTTCATTTTCTTGATTCTTTTTTTTTTCTTTTCCTTTTGGAATTATTATTTGAAGACCATTATTTTATAGGGGAAGATATTGAAGATTTCTTGATGAAGACCAATAGAGTGAAACTTAATGGCATTGAGTCAAATTGGTTTGATTGACCATTGAAACCCTAGCTGGATTGTGATAAGTATTGACTCCTATCTTATCTTGACTCTCATGCTCCAATTATAATTTATTTTGTGAATCAATTTTTTTAATACAATTTATGAATAAAACAATTGAATCTTTGAATTTGAAATTTTCAGTAGTTAGAATGGTTTACTTAAAGAAATAAAATTATTTTTCCCCCATTAGATGTTTAAACGTCACAATCCATAAGACTGCGTGAGGTGTGTGTTTTATTCTAAAATTTTGAAGTTGGCTTGGTAGGGAATTCTTTTTTAGAAGTGTTTATAGTCAAAGTATGTATATATATATATTTATTTTTTTATTTATTTATTTTTGATTAAGAGCCCTTTTTGTAAAATGCAAGAGTGAAAAATTGTGGGGATGGGGTTTGAATCTCCAAGGAAAGGAGCTAGGTGCTTTAATGCTGAGAGAGGAGAAAAACATTCGTAAAGTTTCTTAATTCTTTTTTCTTTTCCTCGAGAACATTCATAAAGTTTCTTAAACATTGCATATTTATATGACATTTGTCGATTTAAGGGGACATACATTAGGCTAACCACAAATGAGTAATTATTGGTTTAGAAACTAATAGGGAAGAAATGCAAAAGTGATGAGAAAAATGCATGGACTTTTTGTATGGTATTGAATTCATGGCGTGAAAAAGTGGCAAAATGCACAGTGTATGAGTTTGTGACCAAAAACTTCTCTCTACCTTTCTCTCTCTTTTTTCTTTTTCCTTTTTTTGTTAAACCAAAATTCCATCTTTTGTTTAATTTATTTTGAGATTTGGCGTAGATTCTAACTTTTTATACATTCAATATTTAAAGTCTAGAGAAAAATTACAAAGTCTTGAAGTATTTTATACATGCTTTTTGAATTACGACAAAGTAAGAATGAAGTAATTGCTAACTGGAACACAGTTAAATTGGTCAAGATATCTATTTTCGTTGAAGAAGTCATGAGTTCGAATTCTCACCCTTGAAGAAAAAAAATAGAACAATTTTTTTTTTAAAAGTTATTATCCGATTCTTTTAATTTGCCTTTTTAAAAAAGTTAACTTCCGTTGTTATTTTATATCTTATTTAATAAATAAGTACATCTTATGCTAAAAACAAACCCATTTAAAAAATAATTTATTCAAGGCAAATCACACACACACAAAAAAAAGTATCTTTCATTTTGTCCATATGCAACATATTTTTTTGCTCTAGTTAAAGACTTCACTAAATCAAAATCCCCAAGTCATATATTAAAAAAAATCAATTTTATAAGAAAAATAAACTAATTGTCAATAATTTCCTATTTATGTTTGTTAATTGCAATGACCACCCTCCAATAATTAACAATTATTTATTTTATTGACCTCTTTGTTTACAAGAAAAGTGGCAAGAAACAGCGAGAAAATCTATGTGAAGAGCTGTCAACAAAATATTAAATTAAAGAAAGAGGTCAAATTTTGCTTCTTCCAATTGAAAAAAAAAAACCCACACTAAAATATTTGGTTAAATTTTCATTGACTTTTGAATTTCTTTAAGTTTGCATGCTCATCTCCTCCTACTTTATACTAACGAAAGATAATTAAGTTTTTTTAATATTGAATAGGTTATGTAAATTAAATATAAAAATTAGACTTAAACATGTATTTATTCATTTTAATCTCGATGCTTTTTTTTTCAATAAACTTTGTGTTTAATTAATTTTTGTTTTCAGATGTTTTTATATATTTTTGAATAACTAATCTGTGAACCATTTTACATCATCATAATATAAAACTCAGTTCTCCAGGTGTTCCAATTATACTACTCTTCTAATTACACGGTTATGAATTTAGGGTATTCATTCTCGAACTATGTGTTCTATCTTCAGCATTTCAAGTTCAATAGTCACTAGATCCTAATTTTTTTCGTACCTAACTCAAAAGATTTCAGCGAGATTCAATTCTTGATTTCATAAAGGCCAACAAGTTCGATGAAATTTGATTCGACATAATTTGGATATAACGACTTCGTATCCCAACTTTGAAACCTTCATGTTGCCTTAGCTTCCATATAAGAATGGAAATTAAATCTTGAGAATTAGGATCTAGAATAAACTATACATCCATTCTAATTTTTAAGGAGCCCTAAAATTAACTTATTATTAATGAAGTGGCCCATGCATATGAAGAATTAGGATCAAATTGGTCTAACTTTTCTCTTGGTATTATTATATCCACAATATGTCCAAGAAAAAGTCTCCCAAATATCTTCATATTCAATATCTCAAATTTCAAAATTGTCAATATATTGCCATCTCAAGAAAATATCTCATTTTTATCAAAAGATGAATAAAAATAAAATTAGGAAAATATCTCAAAATATGAGGTATAAACTTTCTATATTTCACAACGATATTTGTATTCACATAACATCTAAAATATCAATTTGACCTACGTTATAAAATGTTTAAATATAGTTATATATGGATGAAATTAAAAATATATATATATTAAAAAAGCTTGAATGGTTTGCTTAAATAAATATAATAATCGATGAAGATGGAGAGGAAAGTAAAACATAATAGGTTAAGACGATTTCCAATTCAAAAGGTATAAAATATCATTTGGTCGGTCTTACTAATAATTTATCTGTCATACATAAAATATATGACAGTAAAATAAATAACTGACAAATTAAATTCCAAATTTACTTTTATTCATTAATGGATAATCTCTTTTTGTAGATAAGTAGTGCATAACTCAACACCACAAATTAATCACAATAAAACTCGTGAAGGGAGAGAGAGCTACGAGTTTTTTTTAGTACAATATAACATGTTGGGGAAGGGATTCACACTCTCCGTTGTGGTTGCTTTGGCGAGAGAGCTACGAGTTAGTAGAACTTTACTAGTTAAAGTAATTTTTACTAATTATGGTCAAGAGAGAGAGGACTATACGCTATAGTCTAGTTATATTTCTCTCGACTTTGGGGCGCAAGTTCGACATTAGTAGTCAGGAAATATTAAACCTAGGTGTTAAATTTGAGGGTGTTATGATATTCGAGATTGAAAAGTCTAAAGCGGGAGTGTACGTAGGTAGCTTGGGATTGAGTAAGCTTGGAGTGTAAGAATGTGTAACCCAGAGTTGGGTTTCTAATTTTTTTTTTCTTCATTTTTTTAAGAACTATTTTACCCTTTTACAATATTATAATTTATTTTTCTAAATTACAAAAAAATTGGTGGATAATCCATAAGATTGAACATTAAATACCATTCAAGTCCATGAGACGATTAAATTGAGTAAATTATGTTTTTAAATTCATGTCCTAAACATGAGTTTGGCTTGAGATGTCAAACTCATCGTATTCCAACCCTTCTTAAATACCTTCTAAGAGCCTTTTTTCTTTTTAATAATATATATATATATATATAAAACATGGTAATCGTTAAAATTTTTAATCTTTAGCTGTTTAAGAGAATATTCAACTTAATTAATAAATTCATAATTTTGGAGGAGCAAAACCTAAGTATACACAATTTTTTATAATCTTAAAATATACTCAAGTGTAACCTGAGAGTCAAATATTGCAATATTTCTTTATACATTTTTTATTATATCGTATGAGACGCTAAGAAACTATATAATATTAATATATATGGAAATTTTAATATTATTGAAGCATCAAGGAATATCACATGTTTGTGCCATTAAAATATATTAAGTTGAGGAAATTCACTCCTTTGTTGTATTAACAAAATTTGTCAAATTGAACGTAGGATAATTCACATACACTCCAGAGGCCGTGAGTTCGAAAATATTCCTGGAAAAAAAAATTAAAGAAAAAATCTCTATATAAATAATATTCATTTCATAGGCTTCATATATCTTTCAGTTTGAGCGAAAGAAAGAAATCTAAAAAGAAAAATGGAGGCGGTTACCGGTAGCGGAGCAGGAATATCAAGCGAGAAACGGCGTCGTTCCGGCGAGAAATTAGGGCTCGTCCTCCACGTCCTCACCGGACCATGGTTCATGGTGTTCGCTTCGTTCCTCGTGATGTCGACCGCCGGCACGCCGTACATGTTCGGGCTCTACTCGGGCGCTATAAAATCGGTGCTCGGCTACGACCAGAGCACGCTGAATCTGCTGAGTTTCTTCAAGGATGTAGGAACAAACGTGGGCGTAATCTCGGGCCTAATCAACGAGATCACGCCGCCGTGGGTGGTTCTGGCGATCGGCGCGGCCATCAATTTCTTCGGCTACTTCATGATCTGGCTTTCCGTGACGGAGCGCGTGGCTCGGCCGGAGGTTTGGCTGATGTGTCTTTACGGCTGCCTCGGCGCGAACTCGACGGCGTTCGCGAACACCGGCGCGCTGGTGACGTGCGTGAAGAATTACCCGGCGAGGAGAGGCGTGGTTTTGGGGATTTTGAAGGGATACGTAGGGCTGAGCGGCGCGATTTTGACGCAGATTTATCACGCGATTTATGGCGATGATTCGAAATCGTTGATTCTGCTTATTGCGTGGCTGCCGGCGGTTATCTCCGTCGCGTTCCTTAGAACTATTCGGATTATGAAGGTTGATCATCGGCCCAATGAGCTCACGGTTTTCTACAGGTTACCTTACACTTACGACTTATAACTGACTTTGTTCATTCGTTATTTCAAGGTTTTTTTCTTTTCTTTTTTTTTTCAAAGGAAAATTGATGATTTTTTAAAAAGTTTTGAAAAATAATGGAGTCAAATTTTTCTAGTAGCGCTAAGCAAGTGCAACAAAATAGTTGTTGACTGGTTGGCCTCTGTTGGTAATTTTCTTTTGTTGGTGAAATTTTTTTTATAAGGTTAAACCTCCCTTCCATAAGGTATGGAGACTGTGGATATAGTTTGAGAGTTCATTGATTGAAAGCGAAAAAAAGTAAAAATCAAAAGTTTATTGGGATAAATTGGGTTCAAACAAAAATAAATGAACACCAATAAACTTTCTTAAAAAAAACCAACAAAAATTTGAATGTTTAAGCTTCATGAATTTTTTATTTTTTATTTTTTGAAAAGATCAAAGCTTTATTAATTAAATTCCTCAAAAAAGCAAAATAATGTAATGATATTATACACTATTCCATTTAATTATAGTAACGAGTAACTAAAATCAAGATCCATTATTATTTATCCTCGACAGGTTTCTGTACATTTCTCTTGGACTCGCTGGGTTTCTAATGGTGATGATCATTCTCCAGCAAAAATTCAAATTCTCCCACATCGAGTACAGCAGCAGCGCCGCCATGGTCGTTTTCCTCCTCTTCTTTCCCCTTTTCATCGTCATCGCCGAAGATTTCAAGCTATGGCGCACCGAATTACTCTCAATCGACGCTTCTCCTCCTCCTCCTCCACTCAACATCGTCTCCCAAAAACCCCCGCCGCCGCCATCGCCGTCCTGCTGGAGAACCGCCCTGAGCCCGCCGCAGAGAGGCGAAGATTTCACGATCCTCCAGGCCCTTCTCAGCGGCGACATGCTCCTCCTGTTCCTCTCCACCGCGTGCGGCGTCGGCGGCACTCTCACCGCCATCGACAATCTCGGCCAAATCGGCGCCTCTCTCCGCTACCCGAAACAGAGCATCAGCACATTCGTGTCTCTGGTTAGCATCTGGAATTACCTCGGCCGCGTGGTCTCTGGTTTCGCCTCCGAATTTTTCCTCACCAGATTCAAACTCCCCCGAACCCTAATTTTGACCCTAATCCTCGTCCTCTCCTGCGCCGGCCACCTCCTCATCGCCTTCGACCCCCCCGGCGGCCTCTACGTCGCCTCAATCGTCATCGGATTCTGCTACGGCGCCCAATGGCCGATTCTCTTCGCCATCATCTCCGAGATCTTCGGCCTCAAATACTACTCCACGCTCTACAATTTCGGGTCGGTGGCGAGCCCGATCGGGCTGTATTTCATCAACGTTCGGGTCGCCGGAGATCTGTATGACAGGGAGGCGAACCGGCAGCTGGAGGCGGCGGGGAGGAAGAGGATGGCCGGAGAATCTCTGAACTGCGTGGGAGTGGATTGCTATAAACTGTCGTTCCTTATAATCACCGGCGTTACTCTGTGTGGGGCTTTTTTTTCCTTCATTTTGGTGCTCAGAACCCGAAGGTTTTACAGGACTGATATTTACAGCAGGTTCAGGGAGGAAGAAGAAGAAGAAGATGCTGGGCCTGGGCCTGTGCTTGGGCCTGGACCTGGGCCTCGGCAGAGTACTGAGATGGCATCGGCCGCTCCACACGGTGTCGTTTCAGCGGTTGAGAAAGTTGAGAGGAGAAATAAGTAGTTGCCTAGTTGGTTTGGTGGGGTAACTGGTAATTGTAAATTATAACTTCTACTGTTTTACCGTTTAATTATTCCATCGTTGTGTAACTTTTCTGCGACGGTGAATGAAATTTACAAACCGGTATGTTTTACTAGTTTAAGTGAAAAAACTATCATGAATTGAGTGAATAAAAGGTGTTTATTTTGAGCTTTTATTTAAAAATCCAAAAAAGTCGTTTTCTGTCTTTATTTTCGTTCAATTCAAAAAATATATATATATATATTAATAACAAAATGGACCGAGTAAATTATGATATAAACAATTAATAAAAACTAATTATGTTAAACAAAATTATAGTATTAAATAAAAATCCAGTTTTTGTTATCGTAAACCTTATAAGACAAATTAGTCTAAATTTATGGAAACATGAAATGCAATAAGCACAGTTTTAGTGTATTTAATACAAATGCTAAATTATAAATTTGATTGTTGAATTCTCAAAATGATGTCTATTTCTTTTTCGAGCTAAAAAATTATGACGATGAAATTTGTTCAGATCAACGTGCTTATTTAGTTCATGTATTCTAAAAGGTTTATGACCATTTTTTAAAAAATTAAAATTATATTTATTTAGAACATTTTTTAAGTTGGACAAAAAAAATTATATACTGAATAGTCAAAACGTCATACATAATTATATACACACACATATATTATAACATTGAAACAAATCACTGACCCTCTAGGCATATGCAGATTTTTTTTGTTAGTGATGATGTCCCATCTTCAATTTCAATAATCAACAAATAACAAATATATTATGTATTATCATGCAACTATTTATTAAAAATATAGGACGATGCCAAGTGGTAATACAATGTATAGAATATATGACACATGTTCGATGTTAAAATGTTGTAATGAGAAGTGTTATAAGCTTTGAATGAAAGTCCCGACATAAGTTAGCAATAACATTGACAACCTACATGAATTAATGTATAACGATGATTTCATTGTCTCTGACATAGACCCACATTTAGACATACTTGAACTATTAACTCAACCCAACAAATATAAGTTAATTTCTATTATTTAAAATTTGGTTAGTCCAACCATTAATAGTGGATATCAAATGAGATATAGAATGACAAATTATGTAAAATAGCACAAAGTTAATAAGTATTTTAACTTTTAAGTAACCGTTACAATTTTTATTTTTTTTAAATATAATATAAATTTAACTTTTCTTAATATATTTTATATCTACATCTTAACAAATACACCTTCATATCTTAAAAAAAAAAAACCTTAATTTTAGGGTATTTATGTAAAATAAACGTGGAATGTTTTGTTTAATATTATATGTAGTATACAAAAAATTCAAATATCCGTCCCCACAACATCTTATTTAAAATATATATAAACAAACCATCGTTTAGCGCCATGGCTTCTCACTTCTTTCAACTCTCTGAACCCGAGTCTCGTTTCAATGTCTTGGCGCCATGGTTAAAGGCGAGCTCCGTTCCAGTTCCATGTCCTCTTGAATTACTTTTTCACCGTCTTCACCAGAGGATGCTTGCATTTGATCCAATGGAGGTTTACGCTATTTCTCAGGGCTTTTCTCTCCTGCATCCTCATCGTGTTTCTGGTTTTTTTTGCAGGATAAGTAGCATCTTCTTCAGAGCAAGAGAGGAATGGCTCGGAAGGAAGAGTTCGAAGTATACGTTGGAGGATTGTCGTGGTGCATATCGGAGCGAGAGCTCCAAGATGCCTTCAGCCGTTTCGGAAGAATTATCGATACTCGGGTAACATTTCGTATTTTTGTCATTTTTCCGTGCATTTATCTCTGTTTTGGCATTTCCATGTGCTACTAAGTTCCTGCGCTTTGGCTCTGTGCTTATCATGCACTTGAGTGATTTTTAGGGTTGCATTTCCTGGTCCAATGCCTGCATGTTTATTGTTTGGGATTAATTGTATTTTACAGGAGAAGAGTTGAGATATCGTAATTTTCGCTTTCCACATCCTCAATGCAAGGCAACGACATTTATTTACTTTGGTTTATGCTGGAGGTTTCAGGTGTCATACTGAAAGATTTCTGCTTGTTCGAGATTTTACTAAGTGGGTTTCATTTTCATTAGGCCAAGCTGCAGCTATATTCCTGCAAGATTTCTGTAGGTCTAATTCTTGTTTTGATCGATTATTATAGTCGTGAAAATTTATCTTTTACTAAGTGAGTTTCATCACGCCAAGCTGCAGCTATATTTCCATAGGATTTTTGTAGGTCCAAATATTGTTTTGACTGATTATTACCGTCATGATTAATTTTGTTAATCTCCAGGATCATATGAAGAATTAACTTATTTCTGTTGAGTTTCCATCCTTAAATAATTTTTGTTTGTTTGCATGAGTCGAATTGGTGGTGCCTCTGCAGGTCATTATAGACAGATTTCATCGTTGTCGTGGATATGGATTTATTACCTTTGCAACTCGTCGAGGGATGGATAATGCAATCAGGGAAATGAATGGGCAGGAATTTGACCAGGGGATTATCAGTGTCTAAGGCTAAACAACCCGAAATAAGGGGAGAATATGTAGAACCATGCTTTAGCAGAGGCTACTTATCTGGTGGTCGGGATAGCTTGAGGAGAGCTAGTTCTGGGCTAAAAATGGAGGGAGAAGATATAGGGCCAGAGATTGAGAGAGGTTACTTATCTGGTGGTCGGGATAGCTTTGGGAGAGGAGGTAGATCTGCGGTGCATGATGTATGCTATAATTGTGGATGCTTGGGGCATTGGGCACGTGATTGTCCTTTAGCTGGAAGGCGTAGACCCTCATTTTCATCTCGTTCTTGGTTTGAAAGGGATGACAGTGAGAATTCTTTTGGGGAAGACCGTGATCGATATGTGGACGAGCAATATGATGGAGGACGAGATAGAGTTAGGGATCATCGTCTAGATAATAAACAGGACAAGTATGGATGCTACAACTACCATCATAGCGACAGGTATACTAATCCGTACTATTTGTGTCCTATATCAATGATGGTTTGGTGGTGGCTAATAAACCTAGTGTTTTCATATTTGCTTTAAAGGTGTTTTTTCCCCTTTATTTTATATGGTCTGATTGATTATACTGCATCAGTTCGGTTGACATCTCCCCTCCTTGAATTTCCTCATAAATATGGAAAAAATGGTATATGAGGGAAAATCTGAGTTTTACTCGTGAAGAAAAACAGCTTCCATCTTCCAAGTTCCAACAATGATATGGTCTCTTATTAGTTTTATCATCTATGACCTAGGAATCTTTAGGAAGTCACAAGAATTGTATCAAATTTGTTAGGAGTTGATCTTGCTAATTGGCATGATCCTCGTTAGTTGGCAGAAATTATTTCATTAACTACTTTTGGGTTTTTAAATCTGTAGGGTGGCTTCTAGAAGAGGAACTTCCAATGCAGATAGTTCTTGCTCTCACTTAGCTGACTCTGAGGTTGGAAATGTGACTGTGCGGTTGCCAAATAGAATGCATAAACATTGTGAGAAGTGCAAAAACGATTCATATTCCCACGAGGATCGAAAACATAAAAAATCGTCTTTTCAGAATGAAGAGGGAGAGGGGGATAGTGAAGCTTGTTTATCGGCTATAAACTTCTCTCTGGATAATTCTAGGACTATGCTTTCAACCATGGTTTTATTGGATGAGTTGTCATTTAGGCAGGTGGAGAGTGAAAGATTTCAGAAATTTTGTCAATCATTACAGCCTAAGTTTGTCATTCCTTCACGAGTTACAGTGATAAAATATTGGTATCAAATATATATGAGCAAGAGAAAGGGTCTGAAAAATGTCTTCACACAGAATTGCCAAAGAGTTTGCTTGATTATTGATATTTGGACCTCCGTTCATGAAGAAAATTATATGGTTTTAAGTGCTCGCTTTATTGACAGTGGTTGGAATTTGCATACGAGGATTTTGAACTTTTGTCAAATATCTAATCACGAAGGAGAGACAATTTGTAGAACAACAGAGAAGTGTTTGCTTGAATGGGGTATCAATAGTGTAACCACTATAACTGTTGAAAATGCTGGATCCAACGATGCTGTAATAGGTTATTTGAGGAAAAAGTTCATAGCACCGGGTTCTATGGTGTTAAACGGGAAGTTCTTGTATGTGAGGTCAATTTCCCATGTACTCAGGTTGTTCATCAATGATGCTTGGAAACACCTGTACAAGTCTATAGTCCAAATTCGTGATGCTGTGAAGAATATTACATCTTCCCCTGCAAGGTTACAAACTTTTAGAGACTTTGACCAGAAGAACGGTCTCCCTACAGAGGAACTTCTCTATATTAGATGCACCGACAACATGGGATTCCATAGATGTGGTTGTAGCGGTTTTGAAGTTCCAAAGAATATTTGAGAGGATAAAAGATCAAGATCCAAGGTTCTTTTTGGAAGTTATACCTTCACTTGAGAATTGGGTAAATATTTGTGCATTTGTCAAATTGTTGATGGTTCTTCTTGAAGTTGATTCAAGGTTTTCTGGATCTTTATGTGTCACTCCAAATGAATATTTTCATAAGCTTTCCTCGATACAAGCGTTGATTCGAGAATATTCTCAAAATCAAAATGGTAACCCGCAATTGAGTAGGATGATACGAAGCTTAAAAGCTAAGTACAGCAAATATTGGGGTGCCTCTAAAAAAACAAACTTCCTTCTATATGTTGTTGTAGTTCTTGATCCAAGGTATAAGTTGAAGTTTTTGAAATATCGGTTTCGGGAGTTTTGGGGGGATGATGTTGCTGATAAGATGACTACGAAGGTAAAAAGGACTTTACGAAAAATGTGTGATGAGTACTTCTTCAATATGACTAGAGGTGAACTGAGTACTGGCATTAGTGCACATAGTGATTCTTCTCATGTGTCAATGGCCAAGAAATTTAAGAAATTTCTTGATAAGGAAGCGCCAAATGATTGCAGGATGGAGATAGACAACTATTTATATGAATGTTGTCATCGAAGAGACGATACAGATTTCGATGTTTTGAAATGGTGGAAGTTGAACTCTTCTCGATTTTTAATCCTCAGTCAAATAGCCAAGGACGTCTTTGCCATTCCTCTCACCACGGTTGCAACTTTTGAAACTGAAGCCCGTGTGCTGGAATCGTTTTCGACGCTCATTTACTCCTAAGATGTTAGAAGCCATCATTTGTGCTCAAAATTGGCTACAATCGAAACCACTCTTGGTTGAAGGAGGTGATGAAACAGAAGATATTGATAAAATAGATCAAGGTAAATACATTAATATCTTCTTTCTATCACTTACCACATGTATTTTAATAGTAATTATCAGGTTTTTTCTTTTCAGAATTTTCCAAAGTTTTCATGGGGATCAACTTGGACTCCATTGCAGATTGAGAACTTCAAGGTAAATGTGTAAAATTGATTAATGTGTGTTGTTAATTTAATTGTGATGAACATGAATAAAATGTTGTCCTTTTATTTTCTAGACTGTTGATTTGGATTATATATTTTTATTTGACAATTGACATTGCCACACCATGTGTCAATTGTCATATTTTTTCTATTTTCATTTTGGGTTAGTTTGTTATCTCAAGCTGTTTAGTTCAAACATTATACAGGCTTCAAATTATTTAAAAATGGAAAGAAATTTGGTTGTGTCAAGGACATGCATAAAATATTAAATATACATGTTAAGTTCAAGCCTTTTCAGTCTTTGAATCTATTATTGATTGAAGAGGGTAATAAAGCTAGAGGTACTAAAGTGTTACTTCCTTTTCATTTCATATAATAGCTCATTCGTTGCATCTTAGAAAATTTTAAAAATATATATGAAAAATTGAATATACTATAATTTAAAACTTAAACTTTTGGGTTTAGCATTGATTTAATAAGTTTTGTTGCATTAACAAGTACCGTACAATACTCTTGACTGTATATGGTGTAGTCTGAACAAATGAGAGAAGTCTCCTGAAACTCTTATCCAAGAGAGTTTAACAAGACATTAACCCACTATTTTAGGAGGAATTAACAACTAACTAAATATGTCTAGAAATTAAAAGAACTGAACTAAAAAAGCCATTTTAAAACTCTCTAGATCAATATATATTCCTCTCTGACTCACTAATGAAATGAAATTTTGTCTTTTCATATTAAATTCTTTATCCTCTCTCAGATTTTCAGTTGCAAAGCAAGAGGCTATGGTAAAGATTTTGGCCATCAATGTGGGAATCATTAAGCAGGAGGAGGAATTTTCAGAGACAGGCCATCTTCCTTTGAGCACTGTTACTATATGGGTACGTATTTTTCTTTAAGTTGTAAAAGGTTCCAAAGTTTTCATTTTGTAGTGAGAGATTAGGTGAACCTTTGGCCTATAGCATTCTCTTTTGTTGGGATGTATAATTTCTATTATTGGAGAGATTCCTGCTCTAAAGGTAAGGTACCAATATAACCCTAGCCTGTCAAATAGGAAGAAATGCTAAAAATATATTGACAATGTTAAATTTATCGAGTTGATACGATGCAATGTTTTACTAGTCTAGTAATCAATAAAAAAATCAATGTAAATAGTAAATGGCTAAGAGGAAACGAGTTTGGTGGGAACCTAGTTGTTTTGACAATTAAATGTGGTAGGGTCAAGTAGATATCCTATGACTCTATGAATAGTTGAAGTGTACAAAGCTGGCTTTAACACTTACGGATATTAAAAAAAAAAGAAAGAAAGAAATATATATGTATGTTTCAATACTTTATTATTTATTAATTTTGTCTTTATACTCTCAGAATTACGTTAATTTGAGCATAACTTAGCTTATTTAAGTATATATATCAAAAGATAGAAAGTTTGAATTCTCAAAAAATCACTTTATTCTGGTTGTCATTGAAAAAGAAATAACCTATTCAACTATGATATTTTTGTTACTTTTCTTGAAAATGGCTATGCTACATTTATGTCATTTACCGTTTTTGATGAAGTCATTCATTTATTGATTTGGCTAGCAATTGATGAGATTTAATTAAAGGTAAATGAAAATGAAGTAAATCTATAGAAACAAAAAATTTTTACGTGGAAAAAATACAGAAAAGTTCAATTTGTCCATTTTATCTAGCAAAATTTATCATAGTCTCACGATTTTTTAAGAATGATAGGGTAAAATTTTGATTCTCCCTAGAAATTGACCTACATAGGAGAGAATGCTCCAAGCTCAAGCCCATCTAAATTTGATTTATTATTCACAGAGATATTGCATATGAATCCTACCTCTTTATTTATAGGCTTTTGTTTCTTGGTACTCTTTTAGAAATCACCGCGGAAAAATGTTACAAGTAACACACAATGCTTTAATCCTCAGATAATCATTTATAGAGATCAATCGTTAAGATCTAAATGGATCGACTCAACCTTTACAAAATTTTAAATTGCTTATTCGTCTTCGAAAAGTTTGATCTTCATGCTGTGTCATTACAATGACTCGACACTTACTATCCACCCTATAGTTCTTGATTCATGAGATTTGAGAAATCATCTCAACAAATTTGTTTTAATTTTTAATTATTTGCTGGCATTTGTCCAATACATTTTCATCTTCTTTAATAAATACATTTTACTCAATTCTTATTCAAATTTAAATATATATATTTTTTATTTTTAAAAATTTAACTTAATTTTGAAAACGTTTCGAGAAATATATACCTATGGAATGTCAGTGTTTAGTGTTTGCAAGTTTAATTTAAAAAATATAAAAAATGGTACAAATTCAACTTTTCTGAAAGAGGAGAAAAAGAAAAAAGAAAAAAGAAAAAAAAAAGAGCGAAAACGCAGCGTAAAAAAGGGAGGGAACCCATCAGAGCAGAGCTCGCAGTGGACGATTCAGACTCTCAACGCCTGAGGGGCGCAGTCCATTTCTCTCTCAATTTGCATGTTCCTTCTGGTTTCTGCCATTTCCTTACTCCAAATTCGAATCTTCCCCTCTCCGCCATAGCCATGGCGTCCAAGGGCAAGGGGATTGCCAAGGACACATCCTCTGGAAAGCGGAAGCAACGCGAAGACAACAATGGCGCCGACCTCGCCCGTAAGAGGAGGGACCGGAGCGTTCTTCAGTTCTTCGAGGACGTCGCTCCGGAGGTTGGTGGCGAAAGTGACGATAGCGATTTTCTCGATGGTACATTATCTCTCATTCTCGTTCACTCATCATCACTGTTTTCGCCTCTTTTGGGGGTTTCGAGGGCTGTTTCGAGCTTCTAGTTTTTAATATGTTTGCTCTGCATTTTTTTCGGTCTTGGGGGAGTAATTGGTGAAAATGGTCACGTTTTGGCTCGTTTTTTCCTCCTAGAAGATCCGTCTTAAACCCTTTTACTCCGTTGAAAAAGCCTGTTAGATTATAAATTTGTGCGCCTATCTCATTCTATAGGTTGATGATAATTTTGACATATTTTCTGAACATGTGGAGAGGCCCGCGCTAATTGTATGATGCTTCTAGCGAGGTCGATTTAAGTCGCTAGAGTGCATCTGGTGCGGCTTTCTCTGACTTTGATTTTGGATGTCTTAAGTTTGTTAATGGATAGATGGACTGATCTCGGAACTCAAAGTCAGCATTGGCTGTAACTTTGTGGGTCGTTTTTCTTCCAAATTCCTCATGTACGTGTGTTATAATCACCGTTTTGTATCTTTGTATCACAAGGTTTTGGTTTGGTTCTTGACAATACGGAGATATGACCAGTTCGGTAGTATTGATTTGGTTTGGTGGTCAGTTTTGTTGCTTTTGTTCAGACAATCAGTTCAGGTTTTCAAAAAACTGGTTTTAGCTTCGGTTTGTTCCTTAAAACGATGGGTCGGTTTGGTGACAATTAAGATCCTAAAAGTCAAGCACAATGGTTGAGTTCTTTCATATCGTGCTTCTTCACGTTTAAACTTTAAACTTTCTTCTTCTGGGTATTCATTTTGTTGCCATTTCTATTGGTTTTAATTTTTGATAAATTCTTAATTTGGTGTATATCGTCTTTTAAGGTTTTGGATTGTGAGAAGGTTGCTTTTCATTCTGAAGTCTAGGTATATTTTCCCTTTATGCAATTTCCTTGTGCTGTTATGAATATGCTGAAAGTTTGATTTCCTTACATTATTTTACATTTGTCTTTGTAAGAGAATGGTCGGTTTTTTTGGGTGAGTGGTTGGCTTGTGCCATGGGCTCACCTCGAGGCAAGGTGTAAATTGTTAGCCTCAATGCTTATGCGTACTTTGGTTTATAAGAGGTTTTTCCCTCCATGAAAATGCATTAAGGGATGGAGTCTTTCCACCCCATGTAATGGCCAGAAGAATAACGTTGATTTATTGTATATTTTTCAAAATATAATAGTCCACTTATGTTTTTAATATTGATAGAACATAGATTGTGGTAACTCACTCATTGTTACTTTAACCTCCAAGGCTTAAAAAATTTATTGAAGATTAAAGTGATAGAATAAGTTGATCCTATTAGGAATGACCTTAAGAATCATTATTTAAGAAAGTAATCTAATCTTTAGAATTTCTCAGTGCTAAAGGTTATGAAATCATTTGGTTGTCTTGTGGGATGAATTGAGGCATGTATAAGTTGGCTCAATGCCCGCAGTTAAAAAAAAAATCAATGTTTCTTCTATCCAAACTGTAGACTCAATTCTGCCTTTTCATTTCCTTTTACTCAACCCTATTATTTGACAAAAACAGATTTCATGGAGGAAGAGTTTGATACAGAACCGGCATTTAAGAATGATGCTGCAAAAGATCAAAATATTCCATTCTTCCCAAAAGAAGAGGAAATGAATGAAGAGGAGTTTGATAGAATTATGGAGGAGCACTACAATCAAGGTCCTGGACTCGGTGCATTTGCAGAAGAAAATTATGAGAACAAAAATTCTACTGGAAGAAACCCTCTTCAGCCGTCTTCCAGGGATACTATCTCTCTGTGGAAAGTTAAATGCATGGTATGGAGATTAATCAATGGAAACAAATGCTTCAGCTAAGGATTGAGTATCCAGTCTTCATTTCCATTTTTTCTAACTCCATATATTGATTTTTACTGCCTGGAAATTTTCTTTGTAGGTTGGACGTGAGCGGCAATCAGTTTTTTGTCTTATGCAGAAATTTGTTGATTTGCACTCATTTGGTACCAAGCTACAGATAAAATCTGCATTTTATGTAGACCATGTAAAAGGTTTTATTTACATAGAAGCTCCTAGGCAGTATGATTTAATTGAGGTAACACGAGATTTTCTTGTAGTGCTAGCATAATTTCTTTAGTCAATAATCAGTACAACATTTGACAAGTTACTCTGGATCCAGGCATGTAAAGGGATCAGTGGCATATATTCTACTCGCATAGCTTCTGTTCCCGAAAATGACATCTCTCAGTTGCTTACTGTTCGAAGTAGAGTCAGTGAAGTTTCTGTAGGTACAATGGCCCGTGTAAAAAATGGAAAATACAAGGGAGACCTTGCTCAGGTAAAGTGTACTAACTTGTAGACAGACTGTGCTTTTGCATCTATGAGCACTACTTCCCCCTTTGTTTTTCAAAAATAATATTTAGTGATTTCTGCAGATTGTTGCTGTCAACAATGCACGCAAGAGAGCGACTGTGAAGCTTGTTCCAAGGATTGATCTCCAAGCTATGGCTGCAAAATTTGTATGAAATTTTGTTTACCTTTTGAAATCTTATATCTTAAAAGAGTGTAGTATTATTCTACTTGCTGCAACTAGCTATATGATACTACATTACTGGGAGCTTGTGAGGTTACCCTACAGACTCTACCTGGCCTATTCCATTTATATATTTCAGATAATTCGTACCTATTTGATTATCACTATTAGTACACCACAAAAATGTGGGTTCTTTTTATTTCCAAAAATCGGACTCTTTTTATTATTTTTAATTGTTATATAGGGAAATGCAGTTATGATGTTGGTAACTGCTTTGTGTACTTGAGATGCATTGAAATGGAGAGTTCGTACTTTCTTTAAAATCTTTTTTTATTAAAGTTATCCCCCGTTCTTTATTCAGGACATTTGCAGAAAGCTTTTTTTAATAAATTGCCTCAGCCTTTTGTCTTTGGGTTTGATTTCTTACCCTTTGTAACCTTGAGGGACATTCCTTTTGACGATTTTTTTGGTTTATTGGAGAATATTATTAGCTATAGTTTGGATCTGTCATTTTCTTGACTTATATTTTGAATCGTTAGCCTTTCTGCCTTTTGTTTTCAAGTGATTCTATGATGCTTTGAACGGTAGTTTTCAGGTGCTGCTCCTCGAGCAATTTATCTTAACAGCTACACTAAAATTATGTTAACAACTTAACACTAGGGAAGCACAGACTTGATGTCAAATTAAATATCATAAATTAGTAAACTTGATATATAAGCATAGATGATTTTGATTTTGTTGTAAGGTTTGTATTTATCACGTAAAGAATAAGGTCTGAAAAGTGTGTGCGTTTGTTCGGGGGGTGTGTGGGGGGGGGGGATTGGTTCTTGGACGTGCCTTTGATCAACACCAACCATATTATATTGGAATGAACAATGTAGTTGTACGAATATATGTAGTAGTCAATTGAAAAAGCTCTCTCATTTCAGACGTCGGTTTTCCGCACGAAAGAATTTGGTTGTAGATTTTTTATGGAAAGTTGAATTGTAAAATCTGTAGTCAATTAACAAAGTTTGTGCTATATACGTCTTATTTTGTGTTTGAAGTTTCTTCTATTATATATATGTACTTGGTGCCTTTAAGTTTAAAGAGAAAAATGTTATGAATACATATTCCATGTGGAATAATATATCTTCTCATTATAGGGTGGAGGAGTTGCTGCTAAGAAAACTACCAATCCTGCACCACGATTGATCAACTCTAGTGAACTTGAGTAATAAGAAATAATTTGTTGCTTTCATTATTATTTTTTCTATCTGGAGTACATTGACATTGATATTTTTTTTTCTTTGCTTTTTGTAGTGAATTTCGACCTCTCATGCAATTTAGGCGTGACCGTGAAACTGGGAAACTTTTTGAGTTTCTTGATGGGATGATGCTCAAGGATGGATATCTATTCAAAAAAATATCTTTAGATTCATTGAACTGCTGGGGCGTAATGCCATCTGAAGATGAGCTCTTAAAGTTCAAGCCTCCTGAGAGCAACGAGTCTAATGATCTAGAGTGGCTTTCTCAACTTTATGGTGAAAAAAGGAAAAAGAAGATCATTAGGACTGAAAAGGGGGGTGGAAAAGGAGAGGGCACATCAGGATCTAGTTCCATGAACAGCTTTGCAGATCATGACCTTGTTTGTTTTGGGTGAGTCCTTGGTCTATCTACTCATAAAAATCGTGAAATACTTGCAGCTAATAGATTTCTGTTGACTCGTTACTCAATTACTTTGCAATGGTAAACGTTGCTGTACCATGCAGCCGGAAAGATTTTGGGATGATATTAGGAACGGAAAAAGATGACAGTTACAAGGTATATATATCTCTAAAAGTTTACACTGATTTATTTTTTACCATAGGGGCTTTTACTTACTTCCATTACTTGTATTTGATCTAGATTTTGAAGGAAGGCCCTGATGGGTCTATTGTGGTGAATGTGCAACGGAAAGAGTTGAAAAGTGGGCCTTTAGAGGGTAAATTTACCGCTGCTGATCACAATGGAAAGATCATCTCTGTTTCAGACAATGTCAAGGTGTTGGAAGGATCACTTAAGGTTTGTTATTTTTTTTATACAATTTACCTGTTCATGTACCATATAAAGTATGCTGTCTTATGCAATCACTTTTAACTTACAGGATAAGCAAGGGATTGTTAAGCATGTTTATAGACACACGGTGTTTGTATATGATGAGAATGAGGTGGACAACGATGGTTATTTCTGCTGCAAATCTAACATGTGCGAGAAAATCAAGATTTCTTATGATGCACCTAGTGGAAAGGTCGAGTGAACTTCCCCTTTATTTTGTTGATCAGTTGTTTAGCTTGGGCCCAGTCCAACAATTTTTTCTTTTCTCCATTTAGGATGATGACAAAGGTTTCTCTGGTTTTGAGGATTTCTCCTTTTCTCCCAAGTCACCCCTATCACCTAAAAAGCCATGGGCAGAGAAGGACAGTGGTCGTGAATGTATGTATTAATATTGCTGATGCATAGGCATTTAACCCATATATATTTCTGTTGAAGACATTCTCTGGATGCAGACAACCGTGATGATAAAGATGGAATGTTCTCTATTGGTCAAACCTTGAGAATACGTGTCGGTCCTTTAAAGGGATACCTATGCCGTGTTATAGCCGTACGTAAAAAAGATGTTACAGTGAAGCTTGATTCTCAACAGAAGGTTCTTACAGGTATGTTGGTTGTGATTGTATCTTGGCCCTGTTGAATACTCTGTCAATACTGGTAAGGTTGAGGGCTAGGCAACATTTCATCTATTATTTATTTTCTTCAATTTATTTCCCACAGTCAGATCTGATTTTCTTTCTGAGGTATATCGGAAGACCTCTACTGTGTCTCTCAGGTATTTTTAACTAAAAAATCTCAATGTGTTCTTGTGTAGTTTACTATAATTTGTACTGCTATGTCTATATCTCTCTCTCACAGAATACGAATATCATTTTGTAGTGAGGATACAGAATTCGGTTCTCTAAAACCTTTCGATATACTGGGAAATGAAGGCAGTTCCCAAGGTTTGAATTCGTGTTTCAGCCTAGAAATTTGAAACTTTCTTACATGAATAGGTGCACTTGAATGTTTGAGAGCTTTTTTAATCTCTTTCAAATGTATTTTTTAAAACTAAAAATTCAGATTTATTGCCTATGCACAGAATCAGTTTTATTTTACCAAAAAATGCAGATTTATTTCCTATGTGCAAGTTTTTATTTTTCGTTGCAAGTTCTCTCTCTCTCTCTCTCTGGGAAATGATTACTAGTTTGACACGCTTGTTCTTTTTTTTAAGATTGGATGGGTGGCACGGGGTCATCCACAGGTGGTGATGGCTGGAATTCTGCTGGACCTTCTTCAGAAAGGTATGTTTCTGCTACCAATTTACATGGATATCCAATTTTTTTTGCTTGTGTGTGTGTTTTCCATTTCTTGATCTAAAATTTAGAAAGAAGAAGAAAAAGGAAAAGAAAAAGAGAAAAGAAACTGTGGAATGCTGTCCTATGACAATCAAGTCTGAAATTTGTAGAATGTGATTATCTGCCTGGTTTTCAATGTAATACTGTAGTTCATAGAAAGTTTTATTGACGCGGTTCATTATCTACTTCAAGCTATATGAAATCACGATCAGGAAAATAAAGACAACAGTAGTTATTTATGGATGGACCTGCAAGTGTGTATTTTTGTAAAATGCATTTATTGAACTTTCCTTGCATTTGTTTTTGCGTTAAAAGAGGTTGTCCCATTAACGCCTCTTTTGAAATTTTTATTTCCTCGACATTTTTATGTCAATCTTAGGTCGCCTATCTTCTTCTCCAAGAGAACATTGATTGCGTCTCTGCTTTTACGTGTCTTTTTGCTGCTTGTAGAAATAAGCTTCTTGTTTCAATCTGGATAGATCACTGAAAGTAGTTGATAGATATGATCATGAGAAATTTATAATGTAATAGTCCCAAAAAAAATTGTCTTGGACATATTCTAACTATGCATGCATCAAGATGTGGAATGGTTGGTGAGTGAAACGTTGAAATTGTCGTTTGTTTGCATGTATAAATAATTTTCTTTGATTAGTTTTATCTCATATAGGAACCAATAACTGTTTACACGTCTTTTAAAAAATTACTTTTTCGTTTTACCTTATATAAGATCCAATAACTGCATAGTGAGACCTTTGTAATTATAAATTATGAATTTCACTACTTTCTCTATGTGCCTTCATAAGTTTGTTTATGCAAATGTACTTCCCTGCAGAAGTCCTTGGCCCAGTTTCCCAGAGTCTGGTACCTCGGTTAGTTTTTTTATTCCATCTTCTTCTCTCTCTTCTTTGTGCTGTTTAATGTTAATATTATAAAAGAATTCCATGCATTTTATTTCTTTCCCTTTCTGGTTGCAGAATTGTCCAGGGTCCAGTTCTAATCCTTTCGGTTCTGAAAGCCTTGATGCTCAAAAAGGTACCATGAATAGGGCATTTACTTTAGAAATTGATGCTTTATTCATGAATAGAAATTTTTGATAAGCTGAGTTATGTTGCTTCCATGATAATTACAGATGTTGAAGATTCTCCTTGGGTTAGCAAGACGGTTCCAAATGCAAGCACTTCCTGGGGTGCTGCAAAATCAAATGTTGACGATACTGTTAATGATGACCAAGCCCCTGGATGGGGGAAGAGCGAGTCATGGGACAAAGCTACTGCTAAAACTAGTTCAGATGGCAATGCCTCTGGTGCCTGGGACAAAAAAGTAGTACCTGGTGGAGATTGTGCAGGCCCTACAGATCAAGCTGAGGACAAGTGGGACAAGGGAAAGCGTGTGTCTTCTGATAATCAGACTGGCAACTGGGGTGATGGAACTTCTGGTAAGAATGAACCCAGTGCATGGAGCAGAGATAAAGATTCGGAATCCGGGGGGTGGAAAAAGAGTCAAAATGCTAGTTTTGGTGATGAAAATAATTCAGCAGAAGCCTCAGCTGATAAGTGGAGCAGCAAAAATCGATCAAGTGGAGGCTGGGGAGATTGTAATGCTTCAACCACTGTCTCTGAGATCAAGCCAGCTGGCAAGAGCAATGCAGGTAGTTCTGCTTGGAATATAAGTGACGAAAACTCTTCCTGGAATACCCAAAAACAAGAATCAAATCGTGGCAGTTGGGGGAAGCCTAGTGACCGTGGAGGTACTAGGTCTTCTGAAAGTGGAAGAGGTGGAAATCAAGTCAGGGGTGGATCATCTGGTCAAGACAGCTCATCTGATTGGAATAAATCTACCACTACTGATGGAGCTGGAAAAAAGGACGGTTGGAATAAACCAAATCTTGCTAGTGAGGATGAAAGTATTGGGAAAAAAGGATGGGGACAGGGTAATGAAGCCAATGATAGTGGTAACAAATGGCAGAGTTCAGGGTCTGATGGTGGAAAAAAATGGGGCACTAATGAATCAGAACGTGATGGTGGAAACAAAAGTTGGAATACATCCAAGTCATCTGATGGGGATACTGGCGGTGGGAATTCAGCTATTTGGAAAGACAAATCTGATTCCTCAAGTTTGACAGCCCCAAAAGGAGACCAATGGGGCGGAGATTGGGATAAGCAGCACAGTTCAAATGATACCAAAGCCTCTGAGGACAATTCTCCTTGGAATAAGAAATCTGTTGAAAGTGGCAAAGATGGTGAGCGTAAGGATCAAGGCAGTGGCTGGAATGTTGGAAAAAGTTCTGGTGGAGATTCTGCATCTGGATGGGGTCAAACCAGCAAGGAAGCTGGTTCAAGTGACCAAGCAGGTAGCTGGGGTTCTAATTGGAAAAAGAATTCTAATGCTGGGAATGAGGATTCTAGTTGGGCCAAGAAAAGCAACTGGAACTCAGGAAATGAATCTAATGATAATCAATTCACAGGTGATACCTCAGGCCATGGAAGTTGGGGGGG